AAAAAAAAAAAAAAAAGTAAAATTCTAAAAAAAATTTTTTCTTTTTTTAAGTCTTTTTTTTTTCTTTTATTTCCTTGTATAGTATCGGAAAATCATATGGTTGCAAAGACGATCAAACAACTAAGTGAAATTGTCTTTGATCCAAATGCAAAAGTGTAATTTATAAAATTTAGTTATCTGTTTTTCTTCTGGCACAAAAACTGTTTGGTTAATGCTGTTGTTTAATTAGTTCAGTTAGTAAGTTAGTGAATTAATCAGTTACGGAATCAATTTTTAAGCCACTTTTTGTTTTTGAATTATATTTTGCAAGGATACTATAAATTTTAGTGTAATATAAAGCCGATGTTTAAGTGAATTCACGTTTTTGCGGTTATTCGGTTTGTATCTTTGAAGATTTCAGTTGTTTAATGTATACAAATTTTTTCTAAATGGGAAAAAAAAAAGAAGAGCAGAAAATGAAAAAAAAAAAATGCAAAGAAAATAAAAAATTTTCGTCATTTTTTAATGAAGTTTATAAGATGTAAAAAAAGTTGTTTTAGCATTTATTTTTTTTTGTTATTTCAATGGGAAATTTAGCGGAAAAAAAAATGATTATGATGATAGTAGAGGAGAGTGCTAAGGAAAAAGATCAGGCTGGACTGAACTTAAAGGAATTTAGTAGATAGCTAAACTGTAGTCTGTACACGAGTACAATGAAAACTATCAGTTATAAAGATTTGGTCAGTGGTGGTAATGTGATATTGACGGTGAGAACAATGATGACAATGATGTCTATTTTGGTAGTGCTGATAGGAAGAAGGGTGCTGATGATGAGACAACAATTCAAAGTTGATCTAACTAAGAGTATTTCTGCAAATTTAGCGCACTGATACTTTGAAAAAAATCAGTAAAATAAATTTACTGGCAATATATTTGAAATTATAATACAGTTGAGCACAATTTAGTTAATTGATCTTTTGTTGATTCAAACTTAGTATATACTTTTTTTTGCAGCTTTTAAGCGGACAACAGAATAAGTTGGTTTTTGTTGTTTTGATAACATTCAGTTATTTACACCACTTAAGGCAAAAACTGTCAAAAATAAAAACACAAAATTATAGTTAAAGGTGCGCTATAAATGTGATGATTTTTTGTTTTTCTTTTGTTGTTTTGCTATTGTTTTAAGCAAAGCATTTACCATTGTTGTTGACTGATATTTGTTGACGCTACTGTTTTTGTTGGCGCTGCCAATGTTGTCAGTATTATCCTTAAATGGTTTAGTTATGGTTTGATACCGACAGGAAGCATTTTGAAGGCTTAAAATAACAGAGCTAGATGAAGATGCTTTGTCTTCTGATAAAAATTTGCAGAAAAAAAAAAAAGAAACGAGAAAATAAAAGAAAAAAACAGGCATTTAACGGTACATAAATGAAAGCATTGTTTTTTCTTGTTTTTCTTTTTTTCTATTTGGTTTATTTATATTTTTTTTTTATAATTTATGCTATCTTTTAATGCTTATAATGGTTTACTGATATATCTATCTACTTGTTTTGATTCCTTGTTGTTTTTTTTTCTGTTTTTTTTTCTTTTTTTGGTTGTTTTTTTCTCTTTGTCAGTTGTTTAAAAGTAACTTCAGCATTCAGACAAGGTTTCTGTTTTTTTCATTACAATGTTTTCTATTCTCTTGTTTGCATTTTTTTTTTGTTGATATTGCTGTTATACATTTACTTATCCTAAGCCTTCTTTTTCAGCCATTTTTTTTCAACGTTTACGTTAAAATTGATCAAATTTCTTGTAAAATTAGACTGCGCTTTTTAGATGAAACTAGAATTGGCTGTAGAATTTCAGTAACTGTTAAATCTTAATGTTCTTGTTGCTGTTGTTGTCGTTGATGACGTCGCCGTAATCATCATCAATTTTGTTACCGTTTATTGGTATCGTTCACCGGTTATAATGTTTGATGTGTGATTGATAAATAGAAATTTTTTTTTTTTTCTGCAGATTTAAGTTGAACTTCCTGATCGATAAAGCTGGCAGCTTGAAACTTTTTGAAGTTTAGTAATTTACCAAATGTTATGTTCACTGCAGCAATTAATCATTATACCAATCATGTGAAGCTGATACGTGATGATACTTGAACAACAAAGGCTAACAATAGTTGCGGTTATTCATCAATGGAATCAATAATGGGTGTTTGATAAATTACTTAAGTTTACTTTTCAAGGAATTAGGAAATTTTAACTTTTTTCAGCTATAAACCTCCGCAGCTACTACTAAAGCATTATTTGCTGATGAAGACGACTGCTTGCTATCGTTGTTTTTCTTTTTTTTTTCTTTAACTTTTAATGAAGACGATAACCTTATATTGGTGCTTTTCTGTGTATATTTGCAGATATGTTTCTTATGATAGTAGGGCTTTGCTTTATTATGACAATGGTTTACGTTGGTTATCTGAGATGGTAGGGTGAGCAAAAAGAAATAAAGTTTTGATTTTTGATAATTTTTATTAGTGGAAAACGAAATACACTGATACGTCAACAATTGGAGCCAACGTAGTTCCTCAATTTCTTTTTATCAGGTAGTTGCCAATAATTACGTTTTTTGTTGAACTCTCGTGAAAATATATGGCTCGTCTGAAAATAATGTTCTTTCTATTTTTGTCTACTTTTGATTCTTTTGTTTTCAGGTCTTCTTCAACAAAACTGGTAGCACTTTTTCTCTTCTTTCACTATTATTTTTAATTATCGCTATCTGGAGGATCGAAGCTAAAACTGAGAAACTTTTTCAGTGTAACAATAAAGCAATTTTTTCTTGTAATTATACGCGCATTTGCGCGAAAATCTATTTATCTATCTATTTATCTATCTGTCTATAAGTAAATATATACATATATACATATCTATATATATATATATATATAAATACCGGGCAACTTAAAACAATGCTGGATGAATGTGTTAGTTGTCGGATACAGTATGTGGATGATTCGGATCCATTTGCGACAACTTCCAGTTCACATCTGGAGCCCAGTCGACCGGTGATGTATTCGTTTTATTTGCATCGTCCGATCGGCGAACAGGTTCCAGATATTATTCGAACCTTACGAGCACCACAAAAGGTATGCTTTTTTCAGGGAGGGTCTTTTCTCTTCATCTTATTTTTATGGTCTTACGTTTCTCTTTTTGACACTGATTTAAACAAATAGAAACAACATTACAGATTCAAGTTCAAGGTCAGAGGGTACCTCTCAATTACTTAATGTATCTAGCAAGAGGGAGAAAAAAAATTACTTTTTGATTTATTTTGATTTGTTAATTTTGGTAGGAAAAGAAGGAGAAAAGAAACGAGGCAAAGTGTCAAAAAGAAAAAGAGTAAGAACCAGCATAATTGTTCTTTTCAGAACTTCAGAAAAAAAATTTATGGTTGTATTTGTCATATTTCAATCTACAATTTTTCAACAGTTTTTTTGTTTATTTAATTAATTCGATGATGTTTCCCAAAAATGACTACCGCTGAATTTGTTTAGCCGGGAGATGCAGCTCTACAGGTCTACAAGTATGATGGAAATGTTGGTGATTTTGGGTCTTATTTAGACTCGGAAATGACTCTTATTGAACAGGAAGAAGAACTTGAAATTTTAAAAGCTGATCCGTAAGCCTTTCTTCCTTTTCTTCTTTTCTTTTTTTATTTTTATTATTTTCTCTTTCTTAACTTGCTATTTTTTTCTTGCTTTCAATATTTTTATTATATTAATTGATGCAGTAGCAATAAATTATATTAGCGTATAAAAAAAGAATTTTTTTTTCTTTTTCAATCTTATCTGAGCCTTACCGTTTTGATTTATGTAAAACATTTTTGTTGTTGTTAAAAAATTTCTTAAAATTAACTTTAATTGTAGTGAATTAGTGCAGAAACTAAGCGTCTGTGGCTTTTTCATCAATACCAATCCAGAAAGCATTAGTTGTTCGGCTTAATTTCTTTGGGTACAGTGCTGTTTTCATAACAGTTTGGCAGTATCAGTGTTCTTTATTAACATCTTTGTTTTTTTCCTAATCTGTGTGTAATTTATTGGGTTCTTAAATGTTTAGCGAACTGACCAAAACAATAAGAGTAACTGTAATGTAGCAAATAATTATGATGTAAAAAGTAAGCAAAAATAGTTCTGACTTCCTTTTTCTGTTATGTATCATTATTATGAGG